GGGGGAGAATTGAGAGAGAGAGAGACAAACACACACACACACACAAAGAGGAGAGGGGAACTGCTGGGGCCGGCCCGTATTGAAGAATATGGCCGAATTTACCCGGGCTGGCCGTATATCGGCGTATAACACGCACACATCATTTGCCCCCTATTTTCAGGGGGAAAAAGTGCGTGTTATACGCCGATAAATACGGTAGCAGATTTCAAAAAACTCAGAAATTTAGTTTAACATCAGTAATACAAGTTTCTAATCCTTAAAATTATGAAGTGTATGGTCTATACTGAATGAAATATCATATAAAGGAGGTCTGAGTACATTTTATTAAATATTTTGAGAGTAGCATCAGGCTTTGCTTGGTATTTTGAGCCCATACTTCAAAAATGCCCATTTTGGGAGGAAGTTTAAAGGGTACAATAAGTACCTTAAGACATCTACAAGGTACTACAAGACATCTACAATTAGGCACCAATTAAACTGCCAAATTGTCTCTAAAAACAAAAAGACCCAGTTTTCTAGCTATTTTCATTCTTTAAGAGGGTTCTGGGGACACCCAAAAATGATGCTAATGGGCTACATGAGGCACCTGTCAAATTGTACTTTTTGCTCTTTTGATATAAAGACATGGACTTTGTTGTCTTCTAAATAGTTCTGACTTGATTACAGGTTTAATTTGGTAATGTTCGTACAGCAGCACATGTGGCAGAGTCCATGTGCTATGCTTTTTTGTACAACACAACTAATGCTCAGCTGTAAACTATAATAGCTGTATTCATATATCAAAATAAGTCCATATCAAATCAACATATGTAGCTTATTCATTTAGGAAATGTAAATAGACAATGTACAGGCAAAATTTAGCTCGTGTTTGTGCTCTTGTCTCCCCAAGAGCTAAAACTGTAAGCAAGAACATTTTTGTGGGCAAACAGACATGAAGATCTTTGCACATTTAGTGTTGAAACTCTGGAGATGGATGAAGCAGACTAGTGAGTTTACAATCTCCCCATAACTGTGTGGAGTGTGACTTTCTGGAGGAGAGGAGATATGCAAATGTTTACTAGTATTTATGACATGTCTAAAAGAATTTATTTTGCCTTTAGTATGCTAATCCAGAGAATAAAATTCTTGCCAGGAAATCCATAGAAATCTAGTACTACGAAGCTCTTAAATCCAGTTTTAATATGCAGTTCTCAGTACAAATATTTTAGTTGTAAGTCCAAATTGTCCTTTTATAATTTTGTGCTCATTTCAGGTGATCATGAATTCATTGTAAATATCTTTGGTTCTATTACCTTCCAAGGACTCCGTAAAGATCAAGAGATAGACTCACTTTGATGAGGGATTATGTGTAAACATGGATCTTGGCTGAAAGGAATTTAATGGTTACCTGACCTATCTGCCTGCTTTCATTCCCTATGGATTCATTCCTAACTAGTTCCCAGAATACCTGCATAGAATCTGCGTAAATCAGTTTCAAGGCAATTCTCCAAGAAACGTCTCAGTGGGAGGACATGTGCGTTTGGAGCAGTCCAGTCAGTCAGGAAATCTTCCACAATGTGATGGATTGCGTCTGGGCGAGGCAAGGGCCAATCTGGTGGGCACAGTCTCATTTCACGTTCTGTTGGGAGGAGTCAGAGATAGTTATGAGAGAGAGAAAGAGACAAAGCGCAAAATAAAAAATGAGCAAGAAACATAATTTGGGAGGCTGAGAGTTTTAGTCCCTCTGAAGAGTCTTGGATTACAGAAGCTTGCTTTACAAGTTAGCATTCAACAACAAAAGGACAATTAAACAAATTGTACAACAGAAGAGAATATTTTTAGCTTAGGGCTGAACTGTGGAGTTCTTGGCCATTAGCCAACTAGATGTTGCCTAGTTGGGCAATGAAACATCTGCAACTGAACAACCAAGTTCAGAAAGTAACACAAACAAATTTTATTTTCCTAACACAAGGCTGAGAACTTCCTTACAAGCATGAGTTTTTTTGGTTTTCCAGGGGCCACAGGAAAATAAAAATGGCAGATCATATCACCAGAAAAGACAATATTTTGGTGTATTTTGTTGGAGTGTTTACCCTGCTTTCCCTACCAATGGGTTAAAACAGCATCCACATATTATTTAGACTCATCTCAAACATTTGTTCAGCCAAATTGTGATTTGCATAACCCAGCTAAAATGTGACTTATTTATACAGTTGTCATGGTACTCACCAAACCACTATTGTAACCCACAGAACACTATAAACAAGATATATACACATTAGAGAAATGTGTATAATTATTTCCAAATAAAATTGTTCATATTATTACTAGGGATGCAATTTGAGCAACTATTTGTCCTTTTAGTTTGATGTTTTTGATGCTTGGACAAGGTGTATACAGATGAGGCCTATTCCCTGTTTACTTGACCCTTTCTCCTCTTGACTGACTAAAATGTCTAGATCCAATATTTAAGGGATCTCATCAGTGCCTCATTATGAGAAGGATGTGTTCCCCATGTCCAAAGAATGTTATACTAAAACCTAACTGAAGAAACCTCTCTTCACTCAGAATATTTGTGAAGCAGGGCAGTCTCAAATATTCCATTTTTAGGAAAGGTAGATGATGATAATAATAATAATAATAATAATAAGTTGGAAGAGATCTTGGAGTCATCTAGTCCAACCCCCTGCTCAGGCAGGAAATCCTATACCATTTCAGACAAATGGCTGTCCAGTCTCTTCTTAAAAGCTTCCAGTGTTGGAGCATTCACAGTTTCTGGAAGCAGGTTGTTCCACTGATTAATTGTTCTAACTGTCAGGAAATTTCTCCTTAGTTCTAGGTTGCTTCTCTCCTTGATTAGTTTCCATCCATTGCTTCTTGTCCTGCTTTCAGGTGCTTTGGAGAATAGCTTGACTCCCTCTTCTTTGTGGCAACCCCTGAGATATTGGAACACTGCTATCATGTCACCCCTGGTCCTTCTCTTCATTAAACTAGACATACCCAATTCCAGCAACCGTTCTTTACATTTTTTAGCCTTCAGTCCCCTAATCATCTTTGTTTCTCTTCTCTGTACTCTTTCTAGAGTCTCAACATCTTACATTGTAGTGACCAAAACTGGATGCAGTATTCCAAGTGTGGCCTTACCAAGGCATTGTAAAGTGGTATTAACACTTCACGTGATCTTGATTTTATCCCTCTGTTAATGCAGCCTAGCACTGTGTTGGCCTTTTTGGCAGATGCAGCACATTGCTGGCTCATATTTAAGTGTTTATCAACTAGGACTCTGAGATCCCTCTCACAGTTACTACTATTGAGCACGGTACCACCTATACTATACCTGTGCATTTGATTTTTCTTGCCTAAGTGTAGATCCTTACTTTTTTCACCATTGAATTTCATTTTGTTAGATAGCGCCCAGTGTTCAAGTCTGTTCAGGTCCTCCTGTATCTTAAGCCTATCTTCTGGAGTGCTGGCTATTCCTGCCAGTTTGGTGTCATTTGCAAATTTAATGAGTTAGTGGTCTTGGAGCTTCAAACACATCTGATTTTCTAGACGATTTCATGTGGGTTTTTGGCTGGCCAATATCCTGAAACTACTTTAGTTCTCTTGGTAGATGACATATGGCAACAACGAAATGTACCAGTGATGGACCATTGATTTCATCAGAATTTTAATTTTTAAGTAAACATGTAATTAAAACTTTTAATACTGGCTTCTGCTTTTAAATTTTGAAATCAAAGATATACAGAAATAAGTATTAGTTTTTAAAGAGTAAAATGAATGCCTTTAGTCTTGGAAGACTCTTGGAAGAGTCTGGACAATAGGAAAAGAATAACTTGCAGGTCATGGATTAATCTTTTATCAATCAAACGCTGTAGGAAGAATGAACTGTAAAAGCATGAGAAATTTGTTTCCTTAAAAAAACATTTTAGTTGTAGTATATCCTGCACGGGGTGACAGTCCAGCTACAATCAAAATCAACAAGTTAAAAACCAACAGCAGTTAAAATATACATAATAGCTCACCCAAAGTGGTCAAAAGTACCTCTGATTTGGTGTAGCCAGATATGCTGTGTCTATCACTGCCTCCTTAATGCCTCCTGAATGCTAGTTATCCTATCTATATAAATCAGCTCCAGCACACTAACAAGTTATCCAAAACATACTAAAATATATCCAACTTTCTGATACTTTTAACATTACATGAAACACTGTAATTAGTAGAAAAGAAAAAAATACCACATTGTTTACCAGTGGGAAGTTGCTTATAATAATAAATTACAGGATGCAGGAAGTTAGACTGCCAAGCATGCTCTGGCTCTCCTACTGCACGGTTATAGTAGAAGACATCCTTGTCAGGACCAGAGAAGTTTTTTCCATACTCCATCATGATAACAAAAAGTCCATCCTGTATTTTTCTTCCCGTGCGCCACTCCAGGTCTTGTAGGACTCCAATTGGATACTCCTCCAGGTATTCAAATTTTGTAGCATTCCTAGGACCAATCAAAACAAATACATTTCAAAGATAACAAGGCACCTTGGCTAATAATGGTGACCTGATTGCAAAGGATTTTTTAAAAATGGGATTGCATTTTCTACCACACTCAATCCACCATTTGGAATTAATTTTAAATTCTGCTTTATTCCATGATTATCAAGCATCAGCTAAACTCTACTCCAAAGAGCTCTGACCACTGTCAATTATATATTCATGACCTAAGAGTTAGAGTATTGTAATATACTGTATTTTACAAGGAACAGCTTGTAAAGAATAGAAAAACTTTGATCATGCTCTTGCTTGAATCTTTTAGTTCATTCACTAAATTCTGAATTTAGCAGAGCAAACTATGTGACTAGAATCAATCCCACCACATAAACCTTTGCACTGATACATCCTTCTCAAAAGGAACATTTTTACAGCAATCCTCTTTAGGGTTTAACAAATAAAATTGGAAAGATGAGGTTAAATGCTAAATCTAGTAATGACTTATTCTTTGGACCAATCATTAACTCTCCACCCAATCTACCTTACAGTATTGTTATGGCAAAACTGGGCAGAATAGGGAATAGAATAGAAAACTACTTGTCTGGATTTCCTTTTTCTTTTTTCTGCTGTGCAGCTCTTGTGCTTCTCAGAATCTGCTTTCCAGGTATTATAAACCCTTTTGTGCAGGTTTGGAGGACCCACAGTGTCATGAAAAGTGGCAGACAAGGGGAAGGAGGAAAAGGGTGAG